ACTTCTATAATGTAGATCAGGCCTAGGCAAACTTTGGCCCTCCTGGTGTTTTGGACTTCAGCTCCCACAATTCCTAACAGTCGGTGGGAGTTGGAGTCCAAAACACCTGGAGATGCACCCAAGGGCCAAAGCTTGCTGTTGCCTTATCAACATATAGAATCATAGAATCAAAGAGTTGGAAGAGACCTCATGGGCCATCCAGTCCAACCCCCTGCCAAGAAGCAGGAATATTGCATTCAAATCACCCCTGACAGATGGCCATCCAGCCTGTTTAAAAGCTTCCAAAGAAGGAGCCTCCACCACACTCCGGGGCAGAGAGTTCCACTGCTGAACGGTTCTCACAGTCAGGAAGTTCTTCCTCATGTTCAGATGGAATCTCCTTTCTTGTAGTTTGAAGCCATTGTTACGTCCTAGTCTCCAGGGAAGCAGAAAACAAGCTTGCTCCCTCCTCCCTATGACTTCCCCTCACATACTTATCCATGGCTATCATGTCTCCTCTCAGACTTCTCTTCTTCAGGCTAAACATGCCCAGCTCTTTAAGCCGCTCCTCATAGGGTTTGTTCTCCAGACCCTTGATCATTTTAGTCGCCCTCCTCTGGACACATTCCAGCTTGTCAATATCTCTCTTGAATTGTGGTGCCCAGAATTGGACACAATATTCCAGGTGTGGTCAAACCAAAGCGGAATAGAGGGGTAGCATTACTTCCCTAGATCTAGACACTATGCTCTTATTGATGCAGGCCAAAATCCCATTGGCTTTCTTTTGCCGCCACATCACATTGTTGGCTCATGTTTAACTTGTTGTCCACGAGGACTCCAAGATCTTTTTCACATGTACTGCTCTCGAGCCAGGCATCGTGTCCCCCATTCTGTATCTTTGCATTTCGTTTTTCCTGCCAAAGTGGAGTATCTTGCAGTTGTCCCTGTTGAACTTCATTTTGTTAGTTTTGGCCATTCATCTCTCTAATCTGTCAAGATCGTTTTGAATCTTGCTCCTGTCCTCTGGAGTCTTGGCTCTCCCTCCCAATTTGGTGTCGTCTGCAAACTTGATGATCCTGCCTTCTAGCCCTTCATCTAAGTCATTAATAAAGATGTTGAACAGGACCGGGCCCAGGACGGAACCCTGCGGCACTCCGCTCGTCACTTCTTTCCAGGATGAAGAGGAAGCATTGGTGAGCACCCTCTGGGTTCGTCCATTTAACCAATCACAGATCCACCTCACTGTAGTTTTGCCTAGCCCTGTGATTCTATGCATGATTCTCGGACACAATGGAATAATAGAGTCAAAGTACTAGAAAAGAGCTTCCACCTAAACATTAGGAAGAACTTCCTGATGATAAAGGCTGGTCGCTTGTTGAATTCACTGCTGCAGTGGAGTCTCCTTTTATGGAAATTTTGGAAATGATGTTGGAGAGGCATCTGTTGGGTTGTGTAAAGGAGGTTGGACTGGATGGCCCTTGGGGACCCTTCCAACTCTAAGATTCTATTCTCCCAGTCCAAGTATAAATATCAACACAACATAGATTTGCAATCTTCCATTTTGTTTTCTAATGGCCAACATGGGTCACTTGCCCTGTTGGGAAACGCAGCTTTGCAAGGCATGGAACTTGCTCACTCCGTGGCACCATTTCCGACTCTGCTTCACGCAGGGACTCTGTTCTTTTCTAAAGGAAGGAAATGTTGTTACAGCTCTCCTGCGAGCCCGTGGCCTCTTTTCTGTAATTCATTGTATAGCGAGATCTAAATATACTTCTGGAATCAGCAGTGTTAACCACAGCGTGCTTTGCCAAAACACATTTGGATGGCTTTTAATGTCAAGGGAAGAGTTACCTGGAATTGGCAGGGTTATATAAACATGTAGACCTAAATCCCAATGATACACTATACCTAAACTGTGTGTTGACTCACTATTTGATATTGGATTTAATGGGTTTAACTCTTGTTAGGAGTAACCAAAAGGATTCTAGTCCTAGGGTGCATTTACGCTTTAGAATTAACGCAGTTTGATTTTAAGTGTCATGGTTCAATGCTATGAAATCCTGGGATTTGTAGTTTGGTGAGGTACCAGGAATTTTGGTCAGAAAAGACGTGTAAAACTTCAACTCCCATGACATTGAGTTGTTTCCAATCTATGATGACCCTATCAGGGGGTTTCCTGGCAGGATGTGTTCAGAGATAGTATTCCTTTGCTTCATTTGCCTCTATTCTGCTTTGGTTAGACCACACCTGGAATATTGTGTCCAATTCTGGGCACCACAATTGAAGAGAGATGTTGACAAGCTGGAATGTGTCCAGAGGAGGGCGACTAAAATGATCAAGGGTCTGGAGAACAAGCCCTATGAGGAGCGGCTTAAGGACTGGGCATGTTTAGCCTGAAGAAGAGAAGGCTGAGAGGAGATATGATAGCCATGTATAAATATGTGAGAGGAAGCCACAGGGAGGAGGGAGCAAGCTTGTTTTCTGCTTCCCTGGAGACTAGGACGCAGGAACAATGGCTTCAAACTACAAGAAAGGAGATTCCATCTGAACATGAAGAAGAACTTCCTGACCGTGAGAGCCGTTCAGCAGTGGAACTCTCTGCCCCGGAGTGTGGTGGAGGCTCCTTCTTTGGAAGCTTTTAAACAGAGGCTGGATGGCCATCTGTCAGGGGTGATTTGAATGCAATATTCCTGCTTCTTGGCAGAATGGGGTTGGACTGGATGGCCCATGAGTCTCTTCCAACTCTTTGATTCTATAATTCTATGATTTGAGGCTGAGAGAATGTGACTTTGCCCATGGTCACTTAGTAGGTGTTATGGCCAAGCAGGGATTGGAACTACAGTCTCCATAGTCATCATCCAACACTCACAGCAGTGACTATGTTGAATATATATATATATATATATATATATATATATATATAAATGTAATGTTCGTTTGTGGGATTAACATAAATCAAAAACCACTGGATGAATAGCCACCAAATTTGGCCACAAGACACCTACTAATCCAAGAAGTGACCATCACTCAAAAATTGATTTTGTCATTTGGGAGTTGTAGTTGCTGGGATTTATAGTTCACCTACAATCAAAGAGCACTCTGAACTCCACCAATGATTGAATTGAACCAAACTGTGCACACAGAACTCCCATGACCAACAGAAAATAACTAGAAGGGTTTCGTGGGCATTGACCTTGCATTTGGGAATTGTAGTACACCTCCATCCAGGGAGCACTGTGGACTCAAACAATGATGGATCTGGGCCAAACTTGGCACAAATATTCCATATGCCCAAATATGAACACAGATGGAGTTTGAGGAAAATGACCTTGACATTTGGGAGTTGTAGTTACTGGGATTTATAGTTACCTACAATCAGAGAGAGCATGCTGAACCCACCAATGACAAAATTGGGGCAAACTTCCCACACAGAACTCCCATACTTAAGACCATCCAATCCAACTTTCTTCACCAGGGCAAGAAAACATAATCAAAGCCCTCCTGACAAAGAGCCATCCAGACATAGATATAGATAGATATGATTCACACACACACAGATATAGTTCATAGATTTGAAAGGCACCCCTAAAGAAGGACAATTATATGTTGCATGTTCCAGAGTAGGCAAACCAGACACTCTCCACATCAACACTGACAAAGAAACAGCAAGAAATACTGTTTATCCAGAAGCATAAACACATTACATATATTAGAAACCAACACTTTCTCATTACTTTATTTTCCAGATCAACAGACTGGGCCACAGTAACGTGTGGCAGCAGATGGCTAGTCCATAATAAGTTTCTGTTCTACCTAAATACCAAGAGAATATGTATTGATTTCTGTTAGTTTAGGTACGTTTCTCTACAACAGTGTTTCTCAACCTGGGGTTCGGGACCCCTGGGGGTGTCATGAGGGGGTGTTAGAAGGGTCACCAAAGACCATCAGAAAACACAATACTTTCTGTTGGTCATGGGGGTTCTGTGTGGGGAATTTGGCCCAATTCTATCATTGGTGGGGTTCAGAATGCTCTTTGATTGTAGGTGAACTATAAATCCCAGCAACTACAACTCCCAAATGTCAAGGTCTATTTTCCTCAAACTCACATTTGGGCATATTGAGTATTTATGCCAAGTTTGGTCTAGATCCATCATTGTTTGAGCCACAGTACTCTCTGAATGTAGGTGAACTACAACTCCAAAACGCAAGGTCAATGCCAACCACACCCTTCCAGTATTTTCTGTTGGTCATGGGAGTTCTGTGTGCCAAGTTTGGTTCAATTCAATCATTGGTGGAGTTCAGAATGCTCTTTGATTGTAGGTGAACTATAATCAGGGGCGGCTCAACCCATTACGCAAAGTAAGCATTTGCATTATAGTTGATTTTGCCCAGGAGCGCTCTTGGGGGAAAATAGACCTTGACATATGCGAGTTGTAGTTACTGGGATGTATAGTTCACCAAAAATCAAAGAGCATTCTGAACTCCACCAATGATGGAATTGAACCAAATATGGCACACAGAACTCCCACGATGAACAGAAAATATATATCAGTGATTGGTTTGGGGGGGGGGGGGCGCAAAATACTGTTTGCTTACCGTTGAAATTACCTAGGACCGCTTCTGCATCTCAGCAACTACAACTCCCAAATGACAAAATCAATCCTCCCTCAACCTCACCAGTGTTCAAATTTGGGTGTATCGGGTATTTGTGCTAAGTTTGGTCCAGTGAATGAAAATACATCTTGCACATCAGGCATTTACATTATGATTAATAACAGGAGCACAATTACAGTTATGAAATAGCAATGCAAATAATTTTATGGTTGGGGATCAACACAACATGAGGAACTGTATTAAGAGGTTGTGGCATTAGGAAGGTTGAGAACCCCTGCCATAGCAGATCCAGTGTTGCAATGATATGGAACCTGCCAGATACCTGGACTGGGTGGGGAATTTGAAATGGTGACTCAACAGGAGTCCAAATGTCTAAAATATACATTTTTTCCCTTTTGTCCCAACAGTTCTTTGGTGACGTCTGAGGGAGGGGAGAAGAAAGGAAAATTCTTTCCAGACGCTTTGCATGGACCAGTCAGACGCCTGCATATACCGGTAATACATTTCTTTTTGGCCAAAATGTGATCTCCTTTCTACTTTAGGTTGTTCCAAAAGGCAATGCTATGGTTTCCTAGGAGTTGCAGTTTTGTAAAGTACCAGCTCTCTTTGACAGAGAAGGCTAAAGACCTTCTGAAACTACAATAATACCACTTTAACGGGCAGAAAAGACCTTATTTTCTCCCAGAGCTGCTTTCATAGAATCATAGAATCATAGAATCAAAGAGTTGGAAGAGACCTCATGGGCCATCCAGTCCAACCCCATTCCTGCCAAGAAGCAGGAATATTGCATTCAAATCACCCCTGACAGATGGCCATCCAGCCTCTGTTTAAAAGCTTCCAAAGAAGGAGCCTCCACCACCCTCCGGGGCAGAGAGTTCCACTGCTGAACGGCTCTCACAGTCAGAAGTTCTTCCTCATGTTCAGATGGAATCTCCTCTCTTGTAGTTTGAAGCCATTGTTCCTGCGTCCTAGTCTCCAGGGAAGCAGAAAACAAGCTTGCTCCCTCCTCCCTGTGCTTCCTCTCACATATTTATACATGGCTATCATACCTCCTCTCAGCCTTCTCATCTTCAGGCTAAACATGCCCAGCTCCTTAAGCCGCTCCTCATTCCAAGGTGACTAAAGTGGCATAGATTCCAAAAGCAATGGAATGGGCAGTACCATTGGCATAGCAAAGTGGCCACTCTTATACAAACTAGCCGTCCCCTACCATGCATTGCTGTGGCCCAGTCTGGTGATTTGGAAAATAAAGTAATGAGAAAGTGTGGGTTTCTAATATATGTAATTTCTTTATGCTTGTGGGTAAACAGTATTGCTTGCTGTTTGTCTGGTTTGTCTACCTAGGAACATGCAACATATAATTGTCCTTCTTTAGGGGTCTCTTTCAAATCCATGATATGATATCTGTGTGTGTCTGAATCCTATCTATCTATCTATCTATCTATCTATCTATCTCTATCTATCTATCTATCTATCTATCTATCTATCTATATCTATGGCTGTTTGTCAGGAAGGCTTCAATTATGTTTTCTTGTTCTGGTGAAGGGGGTTGGATTGGATGGCCTTAAGGCAGCATTTCTCAGCCTGGGGGTCAGGACCCCTGCAGAGGTCATGAAGGGGTGTCAGAGGGGTCACCAAAACCATCAGAAAACTCAGTATTTTCTATTGGTCATGGGGGCTTCTGTGTGGGAAGTTTGCCCCAATTCTGTCGTTGGTGAGGTTCAGAATGCTCTTTGATTGTAGGTGAACTATAAATCCCAGTCAAGTACAAATCCCAAATGTCAAGGTCTATTTCCTCCAAACTCCATCTGTGTTCATATTTGGGCATATGAAATATTTGTGCCAAGTTTGGTCCAGCTCCATCACTGTTTGAGTCCACAGTGCTCTCTGGATGTTGGTGAACTACAACTCCCAAACTCAAGGTCAATTCCCACCAAATCCTTCTAGTGTTTTCTATTGGTCATGGGAATTCTGTGTGCCAAGTTTGGTTCAATTCCATCTTGGTGGAGTTCAGAATGCTCTTTGATTGTAGGTTAACTATAAATCCCAGCAACTACAACTCCCAAATGACAAAATCAATTTTTTGAGTGATGGTCACTCCTTGGGTTAGTAGGTATCTTGTGGCCAAATTTGGCAGCAATTCATCTAGTGGTTTTTGAGTTATGTTAATCCCACAAATGAACATTACATTTTATTGTCGAAGGCTTTCATGGCTGGAATCACTGGGTTGTTGTAGGTTTTGTAGGCTATATGGTCATGTCCTAGAAGCATTCTCTCCTGAACATGCCCAGCTCCTTAAGCCACTCCTCACATTCCAGCTTGTCAATATCTCTCTTGAATTGTGGTGCCCAGAATTGGACACAATATTCCAGGTGTGCTCTAACCAAGGCAGAAGAGAGCATGGGGAGCATGACTTCCCTGGAGCTAGACACTATGCTCCTCTTGATGCAGGCCAAAATCCCATTGGCTTTTTTTGCTGCCGCATCACATTGTTGGCTCATGTTTAACTTGTTGTCCACAAGGACTCCAAGATATTTTTCACACGTACTGCTCTCAAGCCAGGTGTCCCCCATTCTGTATCTTTGCATTTCATTTTTTTCTGCCTAAGTGGAGTATCTTGCATTTGTCCCTGTTGAACTTCATTTTGTTAGTTTTGGCCAATCATCTCTCTAATCTGTGAAGATCGTTTTGAATTCTGTTCCTGTCTTCTGGAGTATTGGCTATGCCTCCCAATTTGGTGTCGTCTGCAAACTTGATGATCCTGCCTTCTAATCCATCATCATTAATAAAGATGTTGAACAGGACCGGGCCCAGGACGGAACCCTGCGGCACTCCTACAGGATCAACCAAGAATGCCTTTATAGCAAACCATGAAGGACACATAACCTGATTCTAGGCAATAGGGTACTTACTTACTTACTTAGGTGATCCCATGTAGTCCGAGGATGATGGTCCTCCAAATGTAGTACCCTGGCGGTGGGTCTGTAGGTGACTGTGGAGCCCTATTCTTGATCTACATCTTCTCCCACAGTGAAGGCATTGGTTTCCAGATGGAAGGCGGTCCTGGTAGGGGTTGGCTTGACGTGCCTTCCTCTTGGCACATTTCTCTCTTTCACCCTCCATTCATGCCTCTTCAAATTCTACAGAACTGCTGGTCACAGCTGACCTCCAGCTGGAGCGCTCAAGGGCCAGGGCTTCCCAGTTCTCAGTGTCTATGCCAGAGTTTTTAAGGTTGGCTTTGAGCCCATCTTTAAATCTCTTTTCCTGTCCTCCAACATTCCATTTTCCGTTCTTGAGTTCGGAGTAGAGCAATTGCTTTGGGAGACGGTGGTCGGGCATCCAGACAACGTGGTCGGTCCAGTGGAGTTGATGGTGGAGGACCATCGCTTCAATGCTGGTGGTCTTTGCTTCTTCCAGCATGCTGACATTTGTCCGCCTGCCTTCCAAGAGATTTGCAGGATTTTCCGGAGGCAGCTGATGGAGTCGTTCCAGGAGTTGCATGTTACATCTGTAGACAGTCCACGTTTCACAGGCATATAGCAGGGTTGGGAGGACAATAGCTTTATAGACAAGCACCTACGGATGTCCCGGTCCTCAAACACTCTCTGCTTCATTAGGAAAAATGCTGCACTCGCAGAGCTCAGGCGGTGTTGTATTTCGGTGTCAATGTTGAATTTGGTGGAGAGGTGGTAATATACTCATAACATTAATTCTTAAAAGCTTGAGATAGATAGGATCCAAAAACATTATAGAACAATATTCTATAATGACTATATTGGCTGCACTTTTAGCAAAGGGATCAAAAAAGTATTACAAACTTTAACAAACAAGGACCATACAGGTTTCTTTTTCTACTAACGAGACATTGAAATGCCAATACTGGGAACCCTGCTGATATTCGAGGAGGCTCATAATGAAAAGAAGTCTGCATATTTTCAGATGCAGAAGAAAAACATTTAGCGATGTATCATTGCTATTTAAAAGTGCTGTCAATAGAGATGATGAAATTTGGACCAAATGTATTAAAGAGATCCATAACAAGCGAAGTGTTCATATTTTGATCAATGAGGAAATGACAAAACCATGCAAAATACAGAAAGGGATCAGATGAAGGATGCCCTCTTTCTTCACTGTTGTTTTTAATGGTGATGTTGTTGTTGTTCATTCGTTCAGTCGTCTCCGACTCTTCGTGACCTCATGGACCAGCCCACGCCAGAGCTCCCTGTCGGCCGTTACCACCCCCAGCTCCCTCAAGGTCAGTCCAGTCACTTCAAGGATGCCATCCATCCATCTTGCCCTTGGTCGGCCCCTCTTCCTTTTGCCTTCCACTTTCCCCAGCATAATTGTCTTCTCTAGGCTTTCCTGTCTCCTCATGGTGTGGCCAAAGTACTTCAACTTTGTCTCTAGTATCTTTCCCTCCAGTGAGCAGTCGGGCTTTATTTCCTGGAGGATGGACGATATGAATGGTGATAGAGGCATATTAAACAGAGCAATAAAAGCTGGAAAGACATTAAAGAAGCAAAGAGAAAAGGTCAACGTAGTCGGGCCAGCCACTTTCGGGATAATGAGTCAGTGTTGATGTGCCCTTAGTTATAGTATACTTAATGAGTGATATTCTGCTCATTTCTGACTATTAATAATATTATTTTTGGCCTGCAAAGGCCTGCAAAACTTAGCGTCATAAAACATTATTTTTTATTTAAAAATGCATGTTGGTTTTATAGGACTTTGGTGCTCTAAATCCAAAAATGACTTCAGAACTGTTCCGTCGTGCAACTCGCTTTAATACTTTTATACGATAAAATGAAAGCACCACGAAGAAGATTCAGACCTTCTCATAGACTTTCTAAATGCTTTAGTTTGTGGACATGAAGCACAAAAATCCACTCAAAAATCTGGAGCCATGGAGAAGAAGAGCTAAACAAGTTCCTGGATCACATCAACAACATCCACCCAAACATCCAATTTACCATGGAAAAAAGAAAACGAAGGAAAGGACTTCTGGGCACTGCAACCGAAGGGAGATGTTGACAAGCTGGAAAGAGTCCAGAAGAGGGTTATTAAAATGATCAAGTGTCTGGAGAAGAAGCCCCATGAGGAGCGGCTTAAAGAGCTGGACAGGTTTAGCCTTCAGAAGAGAAGGCTGAGAGGAGACATGATGACGACCATGTTTAATATGTGAGGGGAAGTCATAGGAGGAGGGAGAAAGCTTGTTTTCTTATTCCTCTAGGAATCATAGAATCAATAGAGTTGGAAGAGACCTCCTGGGACATCCAGTCCAACCCCATTCTACAAGAAGCAGGAATATTGCATTCAAATCACCCCTGACAGATGCCTGGCAGGCCCGTAGCCAGGATTTCGTTTCGGGGGGGGGGGCTGAATTTTTTTTCAGGGGGGGTTTCGGGGGGGCTGAGTTTTGGGGGGGGCTGAGTCTGAGTGAAAGAGGGTCTAGCCTAGCAAACCTTTTGTATCATTACCCCAATACCCCCATGCAT